AAGTATTAATAGTTATTAATAAGTAAAATTATAATTTTTCTACTAATTTCTATTCTACTTTTATTTTAAAAAATTTATCAATTAATAGTTGTTATTTATTTCAATGAAGTACATGTGCGATTGGATTTTAGTGTGAAAATAAGTTTTAGTCTATCAAACTTATTGTAATATTTCAGATTAATTAATGAGATTTTTAATTATCGGTATATGTGACATAATTTATTATTAATGTTCCGTTCAATGCGCTTCTGTTTTTTGAATATTATCTCAAATATTGCGACATGAAAGCACGGAGATCTCGAAATAATCACCTAGGACTGGAAGTCCTCGAACGAGGAAGGGGTTTGGCAGATTCCGTAGTAATCCGGTAAAGTCGCAACTCAAACAGTTTAAGTCAGAATAGTGGCCGAAGGGTGGTAGGTTGCGGTCGTTCAGAGAGTGTAATGGGTGGGATTTAGGATTACGAGTACTAGTATATGTAACGTTCGGTTCAGTAATTTAATGGCTCGTCCTTCCTATTCTTATTGAATATGTTTGTCGATATATTTCGTAATAATGATATGCATAATTTTGCACATTAATATGTATGATCGTTCAAGGTTGAAAGTATTTTAAAGTTTTATCGTAAGTATCTTAACTCTAAGTCCGTAATGTTAGTTTTTAAGCTATAATACCTCTAACGTTATGTATTAATTAAACAACTAGAGTACAGCTACTGTTATTTTGTTATATCATGGACTTTTCCCTGCATGTCCTAAAAAAATTATAAATTCCACTCACGAAAGCTTCGAATTCGCTTCTTCTAAATTCGCAAAATCGACGCGCAGCAACGTTGATACAAGCGAGGTGGAATTTTCGGAATATTCCCCGACCGGAAAACGTAGGATGAGGCATGCGCGTATAATTTACGTGAGAGCACGTTCTGTGGCGAGCACCTCGTGGGTCGTGCTATAGCGCGGGAAGCTAGAGAGAGAGTAAAGTTAGAGCAAGGTAGGGTCAGGGCTGGACAACGCGATAGCGATGCTCCGAGCTATGGAGCGACGTTGAGCGCCTTACCTACCGCTCGGTTACTGATAACCTCTTTTCCTTCCTGTGCCTTCCCTCTCCCGCACCTCCGTCGTAACCCCTTTTGCTATTTATGACCGGTAACTTAAATCGTGAAATGTCGCGAGCGTGAGAGATTGCTGCAGCATGGTCGCCATGACGAAATCCATGAAGATAAAAAGTGGACGGTTACTTCATTTAAAGCGAAAGAAGCTTTAAAGATGTCAAATAGAGAAAAATTCTATGTATATTCTCACAGTGATTTATATATTTATATATTAAATTAGATTCGTGAAATCGCACGTATAACAGCAATAAACGTTTTCTCTTTGTCTCCTCGCACGTATAAATGATTTCGTTAAAACAGAGATAAAACCGAAATGGCTCGGTAAAAGGGCGAAACTCAAGCACGTCAAAGGACAAAAGCGAGTGACATTATCCACAACGGATGGGACCATAGTCGCCGGGTTGGCCAGGATTAATTCTTTTCGAGCGATTCAGAACGCGGGGATGGATCGCTCGGGAGACAGAAGGGTTGGAAGAAAGAATGGATTCTGCGGCACTGGGCTAGCTCGAGAAAAAGTAGGGCGAAAGGACGAGGGACAGACCGGGCGAATCGGTTATCATCCCGAGGGTTGCGAGAACCTCGTCCTGGGATCCCTCCGTCACTTTTTCTTCCTTCCCTCTTCCATTTTTTCTCTATCCTCGCACATCCTTCTCTCGCGACCTTATCCTCGCCCTATTCGTCCCTGTGACCTCAATTCGTGACAATACGGAATCATTCTACGCAATTTTTATCACTTTTATCCCGGTTCGCTTTGAACGCTTTGAACGCTGTCTAGCGAACAATTAGATATTAGCATATATTAAACTGACGCGCGTGTGACATATGAGAAAATTATTTTTCAAATAATAAGCGTCTATAAAACTGACAGGATAATTGGCTGATGTAATATTCGTTATAATTAAGAGTTATTTGTAAGCACGCCTGACATTCCGAACATTAGCTAAAGTGTCCATAAAAAATTATGTCCAAGAGATTAGATAAGAAATGTTTGTTCAACAATTAAGAATTAACCCATAATTTATTCCATTATATTCATTTGTATTTTCATCGATATTATATTCTACATTCTGATTGCCAAAGGGAAGAGTCGACAAAGTAATATTTGCAATACGTTGGGGTTATTGATTTTAAAGTTGAGTTGATTGCTGCTGTATTGCGATGTAATAATACAGATGGACTATTCAACCATGGATTCGCGTTACCAAAGCTATTGCGTTGCTAAATTGATAGTATACATGACACAACAGAAAACGATAATTTATTCATAACGACGGGCGCACGCACCATTTTATTTCTTTCGACTCCTCTGTTATGTCACATAGCATATTAGCGTCGTTTAGCGAAATGCAAAATTTTCGCAATATTATGCTTAATGCGATTACGGCGTCTGTGTGCAAAGTGAAGTAATATACGGCATGAATCTCGCAATGGTATCTAATAATTCGTGTGTCGGCTTTAAGCCGACTTTACTTAAAAACTGTGCTGCAGTACTGGTGGATTGCGCGTGATCTCGTCGACGTCTCTTGATTACATAAATTCATAGGACCTCATCGGAACGCACGATTAAATATACAAAATGATTGTAAATGGAGACAAAAACATTTTGAAATAACTCGTTACAGCGCGAACGTGAGATTGCTGATTAACGTTTATTCCAATATCTTTCCTGCTGTTACAATTATTTGTGTGTTCATAGAGAGAGAGGGAGAAGAGTGGAAACACGATGGGTAACATGGAACTGATTATGACATTTACGAATACATCGCAATAACGTGAAACGATAATGCCCGACGGCCATAAAAGACACGCTGACTATTGTTCTTGCTTTTTTATCCTTTTTTTTTTGTAAAACTGTGCATTGCCATTAAGCGCACCTTTTATTATGAACCTCGCGTTTGTGTTCGTAATCTGCGTTACAATGATTTTGATTTGTTAGAGAAAGATATTTTTATTTCTCTAGCTAATCGTTGCAATAAAGCTCACGCTTTGCACGATAATGATGGATAATGTACTTTTGCATGTTTTTACTTTATTTTTATTTTAATTTCCCCACTTTTTTTAAAAAAAGCGAATTTTGAAAATTATAACGGCACGATATTTAAAACTTATGTGAAACAAATTTACATCATTATGGATGTACTAGGCTACGGAGCGTTAATTATAAATGGATATTAAATTTCTGTAAATAGAGAGAGAGTGAAGCACGTGCCAGAGATAGCTCCCATCTTCCTTTCTAGGGGGCGATTTCATTTTCGTAAACGCGGAAACGTTAAAGACGAGCGAGAAGCATGTACGCGGTCGCGTATCGAGTGAGGAAAGCAAAAGGTTGGTAAAGAGGGATGAGGCCCTCTCTCACCCACCTCCTCCCTCGAGCGATGAAACTATAAAGCCACTCCTAGTAAGTTGTAAAATTGTAATAGCTTTCCGGTATTTACATAATGCTACGGCGTAATAAGTGGAACTCGCCGAGTTTCCATTACCATTCCGCCGCTATCCGCTCTTATCTCCGCTAACGACCCGAGGGGCCCCGCTCTCCCTCACGTTTCTCTCGTGACTTATATTTTTCCACCTTATTCTCCGTTGGGCTAACCGCGATGAGAAGCGGCCCACCACGTCGTCTGCGATTCCATCTTTTGTTCGCGTCGAGTCTTTGCTACGAAAATTCGATCGCTTATTCCGTTAGTTGAGTTTTCGTTTTCTCTATTATCTTAAGCTAAACTCGTGGGTATAATCTGCTATAAAAAGTTAATAGGCAGTGATTTCAATTGTGTTCTTATATATGTGTATGTATGTGTATGTGTGAACAACTAGGCATCTCTTCAAGTCTATCTATATCATGAGACAATTAAAAATGCTGTAGAATTAATGTTCTCTTTGAAGAAAAATAAAATTGTATTTATTTATAAATGATAGCCTTTTAAAATTACACAAATTATTTTAATTAGCACATACACACATCAGACACACACACACACACACACACACACACACACACACACACACATATATATATATATATATATA